ACACATTTCATGTATGTATAATGAAATTGTTGCGAAGGATAGAGCTAAATGTGATTCAAAAATAGCTAGAAGAACGCATAGAAGTAACACATAAACGTGTTTCTAAATACTAAAATCTCGATAGGTATATTAGATACTCGAATAAATTGATGTATGTCACTATATATATTTTTACAAACAACACTTTTAATACCTTACATTGAGGAGGAAGATCGTATCCCCTTAGCCCAGACTCCCGCTTGCGCGCCTGTAAACGCACTTTCCTCCTTCACGAGTGGCCAAAGTAAACGGCCAAACAAGCAAACAGACACTCTACAAATCTCGTCACCCAACAGCCACCACCCGCACGTAACTCTGCCCAGCTAAAGAAATATTCGCAAAGACGACTCTCGACGGAAAGTCGTTCCCGAGTTTTCAGCGTTTCATTTTTCTCGTTCTGTATCCCTAGGCTCCTTTTTCCCTCTATCCCTTTTTGACTTCGTTTTATCCAATCTTTTTCTTCTTCCTTTTATTATTCATGTTCTATTGCGATGTAACGTACGTACCCGTATTACTTACTCTTTTATATTAATCGATTTTATATTAAGTATCTTAGGAGATCGATCATTTTTTAACAAAAATTTGATTGGTAAGTATAAGGATCATCTAACATTGAAATTAGAGACATTTTTTAATTAAACTGAGGTCTCTCTCTCTCTCTCTCTCTCTCTCTCTCTCCCTTTCCGGATATAATTAAATTTTATTTTTACCAATATTTAACACATTAAAGCTTACTCAACATTGAAGAATAAAACGATATCTTTGAATTTTATTAAAAACATGACTTTCAATTTTTCAAGACATAAAACGTTTGAACTTTAATGTAAAATTTATAAATTATTTATTATTATTTTAATTATCTTCTTGTTGTTATTTAATCATCTCTTTATTCTACAATTTTATACGTTTATTATAAGCTACAATTTATTTTTATGACTATTATTTTTCTAGTATTATTATTGAATTTCGTTCCTTTCATCTATTTTCCTTTTTTCTCTTCTTTTTGTATTCTTTCTCTTTTTCCATCGTTTTCTCTCAGTCTCATTTTTCCGATTGTCTCGTAAAAGCGGCTTTGCCTATCGTAACGAGACGTTTGAGGCGAATTTTGTCGCGATTCGACGGCGGTACCGGTAATGCAAAACATAAGCGAAAGAGCTCGGCTATACATCGACAGGCACGGCGCTAAATTCATCGGGACATATAAATGCGAATAGAGGATGGGATGTATTGTAGAGTTCTCCCATTTATCGTTTTGTGAAATTGTTGTAGCAGCTGAATTATTTCCAGACGAACATTGATTTGTAAAACGTTTTATCAGAAAATATCACAGATCTTACATTCGTAAAT